ATTATCACACAGGCAGTTTTATCTCTAGGAATCTTTTACCAAATCTTGAATACGTGAGGAGCATTGTTGAGATTAGCATGGAAGTATTGAAATATATGGAAATATTCAAATACAATAGTAAAATTACTGTGTAGAAATTATTTGCTTTGAAGACTTAGTGGAAATGCAGTTAAATAAGGGTGCACTTTAAGTGTTACCTACCATGTTTGCTTATTAATAAATATTGGAATTTGCTTGTAGGTAAAATGCATGGCTACATATAATATTCTTTGGATGCGTGGTGGATTAGTGCAACTACTATCCACTCCTCTCTCTCTCTCTCATCAATCTTAGACATGGGTTTTGAATTCAAATTTTCATCAGACCATAATCTCAAGCACTATGATCATGAATTCAAATAATAATAATAATAATAATTGAAACTTCAAAATATTTTATCTTAAATATATTTTTTCTGATCGTTTATTTTAATTCTTTTGAGATCATTATTCTTGGATTTCTTTTGAGCCAGCAAAATCATGGATCTAAAGTAAAATATGCTTAGAGCGACTCAAAACTAAATTTCTAATTATAAATCCATGAAACAGGGCAGACTCAGGCAACTAGGCACAGACACTAAACTTGGTAGGGAGACACAATGAATGCCCCCACTGTCTGCACCCATTGACTAGCAGTTGATACAGATGACTCCTTTTGCATTTCCCGCTCATGTCGAGGTTCAACTTCATCATCTATCCTTGTGGTGGAAGGTGGAAACTTAGATGTAGTATACAAACAGTATACACACTTCATATATGATAGCTTCCCTTGAATCATCCCCCATTTCCACCTAACCAAACCCTTAAAGTTTTCAATTCCCTTCGAATTCTTCTCTGGGTAAGAAAGAGAGACAGACAGAGAGAGAGAGCTAATTTGATTATGCTCTTCACCTAGAATGAATTCCTTATTCATAATTCCTTTATTTCAAACTGTTATGTTTTGTTAATTTAGATTATATTTTTGTCATGTTGGTTTTCTTTTTTTTCTAATGAGAAATGTGGACCGTTTTAAAATTAGAACGTTAGCAGGTATTTTTGTTTGGAAAAAGTTTATATAAGGTCTCAACCTTATATTGTATGGGTAAGGTGCACCAAAAAATCCCGTAGTGAATTTGGCTTGGCCCAGTCCGGGCCTAGACAAGCCTAGGCCCCAGGTGGGCTAGGCCCAAGGCTGGCCCCTGCCCAAGCCAACCCGTTGTCAGTCCTAGCCCAATTAGGTGAGGGTGCAACAAACTTTATGCAAAGAAAGTTTCTAGAAAAATTCAAATAAACGGTATTTGGCACAATATTTGTCTGAAGTTATTGTAGTTGTCCATTCAGATCAAACAGTTAGTTGAGAATGGAGTCTATGGAGTTCATATATATTTCATTCGTGAGGCACAACATATAAACTTTTCCCGATAACAATTAATTTCATGGTGAAGTTCAAAAATTTTATATTTTTTATCCTCATTTTACTTTCCACTCAAAAATCTGGTTAGGACCCTTTGTTTGACTATTATTTTTAAACAAATACTCTTTTCATTTTGATAAACAATCGCAAATAAATAAAATTTGAAAATAACTTTAAAAAATATTTTTTTAACCTACTTAACTTATGGCTTAGAAGGATTTTTTTTCCATTTTTTGAACTTTTTAGATGGCTTCATCGTTATCAGATGAATATTTTTTAAAAAAAAAAAATGATTTTGAGTTCATGAAGGCCTAGATCGTAAAACTTACCAAATGGACGTCAAGATTCATTGTTGGAGCGCGCTCATTTTTTAACCACACCGAAAGTGCAAATTGAACTTTAGTTTTTAGAATTGATTTTTGAGATGAAAAGAGTGCCTATACAAAATTTGAAGTCATGCAAATGCATTAATATATAAGATGGTGACATAAAATCACTCCCCTAATATATTTTTTGCAAAATACTTTACATGTCTTTGTACTTTATGGGTTTTCTTGGCATCTAATGTCTCCTTAGAAGCGCCATTGTTTTATGGGAACCTATGGTCTTTTCCAATTTACATATTGATTTATCCCACATGTAAAAGGAATATCATGCTCGTATTCCTCAAAATTAGTATCTTCGATATTTTATATTCTTTTATTTGTATTTTCTTCTTCTTTTTTCATAATATCTAACCATTAATTTAGAACTGAATCACTTTTCATAATATCTAATCATTAATTTAGAACTGAATCACTCATTATAAGGAACCAAAGATCCAAAAGTACTGGTTTTGCACCGCCCAATGTAAGGAATCAAGGTAATCCAAACTATCAGTTTTGAATGCTCATTTTAACAAATCAAAGCAGTTTGGAACTAGTATTTCTGTACAGCTCGTTATAAGAAATCCAAGTAGCATGGAACTATTAGTTTTGAAGTAAAGAATTGAGTGAGAATTTGAAACTCTATTGGGGATATCTCAGGGAAAAAAAATCAAATATGAGCACAAATAAATAAAAAATAAAATAAAATAAAATAAAATAAGCGTTTTGAGTGGGGGAGAGAGGATGGAAAGAGTTTTTGCTTCATTCCTTTCCAAAAAAATGGAATCCATGAAGAGAGAGAAAACGGTGAATGAGATAAGAACTTGCTGATCAAGATGTGAAAATGGAGAAATAGCTTTGGACATTCAAAGCCTCAAAGTCACAAGAAATGTGAAGGTTCTTTAGCCTTGGCCTTCTAGTACTTTCAGTATGATTATGCATTACACCATTGTCATGTACACCTCTTAGGGAGGACAACAGAATACCCTTAATATCTTCATAATTTAGTAGCTTTATTTATTTTAAATTATTTTATTTTATATATTTATAAGTAGATGATAGCGATAAGTATAGACATATCAAATTTGATCTCAATTTAATATTTGTCGATCTTTCTTTGTTGTTGTTAAGTGTAACTTTTTCAAGCTATTTTTTATATAAACACAACTCCACCATTACTGGTCTCAAGTCTAGATGAGAAAGAAAGCTAGTATTGTTAGGTTGGCAGCTACAGAAAAACTTTTTCCACATCCCTATCACGAATCTTGGTCTAACGTTATATGCTATGGTAGAGTGTTCCCTGTACATTGAGGGTATGGTCCTTGATAGAAGCCGGTCCCAAATAATTGGAATAAGGTTCTAATGATAATAATCATTTTTTACCCACATATCCTCTTGAACTGGGCAAATGTTTCGGAAAACTCAAAAAAAACATAAAAAATAAACAAATAAATAACCTAAAATGATTCCTTAAAGATACTTTTTTTTTTTTTGGGAAAAGTAGTGTATTTGTTTTTGAAAAGTATAAACTAAAACCAATCTATATTTGGTGCATAAACGTCACAATTAATCTTGACCATAGATGTGAATTTGTTAAGTGCGTGAAATCCATGGAAACATGGACTCACACATCTCGTTCTTATGATATAGGAGAATCAATTTTGACGTCATTAGATAGAAAAATTGATGAAGAATGTAAAACAACTATATTACTTTCTTATATGGCAGGATCATGGATGAATTAATTATGAATCTTAGTAGTACAAAATCTCTTGAATTCAATTCTATTGTTTCAATTCTTCTGATAGAGAAGTCTATGTGAAAATCTAATCAAGATTCCTATGGGAATGTGTTTGTGGCTCGAGAAGATCAATGGAAAGAACTACATGAAGAGATTGGTCAAGATCCAAATCAAGAGGCTGTTAGAAAGTGAAGTGTTGGAGTTGTGGAAAATTAAGCCATGTGAAAAAAAATTGTAAGGTACAAAAAAGAAACTAGGAATCCCTTAAATCTTGTTCTAATGAGAAGCTTAGTTATAAGTCAGTCTCAAGCAAATCTAGTGGAAGAAATTGAGTTTTCTTAAGATGGAGAAGTTTTGTTCATAGATAGGGAAGAAGTTTTGCAATATCAGCTACTTGATTTAGGTGTATCATTTTACCTGACTCCATGTATGGATTGATTCTATAAGTACCAACAATGTGATGAGGGTATTGTTCATACATAAAATAATAACTCATGTAAAATAATGGAAGTTAGAGATGAGAGAATCAAGATGTTCAATAGGGTCACATGCACAATCCTAGGTGTCATACATGTTACCAGTCTTACAGGGAGTCTCTTGCCTTTAGAAAAAATTGTTGAGCAAAGTTTCAAGTTTACAAGTAAAAATAGATACCTGAAAGTTCAAATGGAGCATTAGTGATTGCAAAAGGAGAGTTAGCAAACCATATGTATAGGCTTGTTTGAAAAACAAGTTTAGGAGAGCCTAATACTATAGAGGTGGACTTCGTCATGACATGAGATGACATACACGTTATGGTCAAATGAGAGAGCGTGAAATACCCCTTTAAGCTCTAAACAAGTGCTAAAGCATCTATATGACATGCTATAATTTGAGTTTACTACATTTTACTAGCACTCCACCAACCATTAAATGTAAGCAAATAATGGCTATGTTGTCATTCTTCAAAACAATTTATTGATAGAAAAGATCTCAAACTCAAGAAAAATAATACAATAGGAGGATGAAATTTTTATCTCTATTTTTATGGATGGAAAAATGGAAATCTTGGATTTTAGACTGAAATTGGCTAGAAAGCCACAATCAAAGTATTATCTCCAAATTAGAAAATGAAAATTTAGGAAAATTTCAAGTCCTAGTTCAGAAATAATTCAAGCACATAAGACTGATTGCTCTAAAACAAACACTATATGAACAAACTTTGAAATTATATTAACTTCAGAGCCAAATTCAAACTTTTAACTAAAAAACAAAAAAAATATGGCCTAACCTCTAAAACAGAACAACACAGAAGCTCATATACTAGGACTTTACCAAATGGACAAAACCAACACATAGGTCTCACATACAAGCCTTAACCTAAACTACACATGTGCAGTACCGATGTACCAAAGCCTTTACATGAAAAGATATAATATCAACACTATCTTTTTCCTAGGTAACAACAGTAACCACCACATGCATTATTCGCGTGCAACGAGAACTACTTGTTTGATGACATTCTTGCCTTTGAATAGTCCAATGAGAGCCAAGGGAGCATTCTCGAGACCATCTATAATGTCTTCAACATAAACTATCGTCCATTCCTTGATAAGCTTAATAGTGAACTCTAGGAATTGAGCGTACAAGTGTCAATGATCAAGTACCAGGAACCCTTTCATTACAACATGCTTCGATACAAGGCAAAAGAGGTTGTGCATACCTTCTGACTTGTCTTTGTTGTATTGAGAGATCATTCCACAGACTGCAATTCGGTTGTGGTCTCTCATGTTTAAAATCACAGCATCAAGCATGGCTCCACCAACATTATCAAAGTAGATGTCTATGCCTTCAAGGAAGTGCCTGACAGAGAGATTGACAATGAGATTTGATCTTTTTTTTCTTCTGGTGGGGTGTGTGCGTGCGTGAGAGAGAGAAAGAGAGAGAGAGAGAGAGATTTTATTTGGTTCTCATCAAGGCTGGTGGCTTAGTCCTAGTTCTCAAGGTTGTATATTCAAATCTAATACTTACTAATAAAAGAAAAGCTTATCATTCTACCTTGAGACAGACAGGTAAAGACAGTAGTTGAGTTTCGAAAAAAGGTTGTATTGGTTGTCTGAGGGTTGGAGCCTTTTGTGGATGAGTTTACCTTTTAGTTTTGTCTAAGTACTTTATTTTCATTTTTCCATATGTGGTTCGGGTTAGGTGGTTAGGAAGGCCTTATATTGAGAGAGGAAATAAACGTATCCCTTTTCAACTTTGACACAGACAAAGCTCCCATGATAAAAATCCATCCTTTCTCCTGGTGATTTTAGTGATTTTTGGGGTGCTATCTCAACGCTTTAGGTAGGTATTGGGAGTTATATACATAGGCATTAAGAAAAAAAAAAACAGAAAGCCAAAATTTGCTCTAATGAGGGAGACTTCAAATGTCAATAATTGGCTTAGTGGCATAGATGCTACTTATTAAAAAGTTGCAGTCATTGTAGAGATTACATGGTATTAAGAGAGTGGTTTTGTTAAATATGAATGACTACTTTTCCAATAAATATCACTCTAATCAGGATCATTTTTAAGTCAAGAGAATTTTGTCATTTAGCAAAGGGAAAATCAGTGTACCTGGAGTCCGTCGATTCACTCAACATCACCCTATGGGCGAGTTTTGCCCGAGTGAGTTGTACACCTTGCAAGTGTTGTTTATATATATTAATGTCTATATTAACTCAAAAGTGAATAAACGGCTTCGTAGTAGCATGCCACATGGACGTCTTTTATTTTATTATAAAACAATATCCATATGGACATGTCTTGTTGTATCCACTTTTTAAGTAGAATCACTAGACACTTTGACATGCATCAGATTCAAACGCTTGAGTCAGTATCCAGTTAACATTGGCGCTGATGTAGATTTAATTGTATAGAAGAACTGCTATCGACATAATAAATGTGAGTGAATCTATACAAATCACCCCCATACAATGAGATAGTGTTTCATTTGCCATTGGCAAATGAGAAACATGTCCGAAAGTGTGGTCCAAGAAAGTGAGGGGAAAGAATATTCAAAATTGTTGAGATGCAACTAAGAAATGCATCTAGAGAGCAACCAGTTGATAAGTCCATGTTGCTTACCTAGAATGGTTTACGTTTTATGCCCGAAACAGGGTTTTTGCCCATTATATAATGGGATTGTCTACAAGAGACCATTTATCTTTTGTATATGGAGGTCACAATAATTCTTGTCCCTTAAATTTCAAAATGGGTGATTGTAAAAGTATCATTGAATGGACATCTAAAAAAAAAATTCTAGAGTAACTCACCTCAAGCCATCAATTTGACATTTAATGACTGGAAATGATTGTGACCTCTATGTAGAAAAGATACATGCTCTCTTCGTAAACAATTCCCCTGTATAATATGAGGTCAATTGTGAAAAATTTTACGTACGTTTTCAATGCGGCAGCTAATTCAGGCTCTTCTTTATAATTGAAAGATTCATCAAACCTAAACTTGGACTTCAATAGATCAACATAGAATGGGCATAGATTTCATCTAAGTTCACAAATTCTCCCCCCTATTTAAGATTAACAGTAAAATTATGTCTCATTTTAATGGTAAAGAAGATAAAACTTATTAGCAGCTCACCTTTTCTTTGAAACCAGCACTACCAACACCATAGCTACCTATTGATTTAGCGAATTGGCCAACAAGTTCGCCGACTGCTTCTAATGCTACCGAGACAAATACATGTTCTCCTTTATTAGAGTAACAAATCTCAAAAAATCCTACATATGCCGCCATCCCAGGCATACCTACAGATAATTTGCCACAATGAAAGATCTTTAATATTCTTGTCTCCAAACATGATGATGCTCAATTACCCAAAAATAGTAAGGAATGGGTAAATAGTAAAGAAATGACTCTCTCCCACACACACACATATTAAAGAGAACAAAAATACGACAAAGGATGAAACAAGCCAAAGTGACAGAAACAAATAAGATCCTGCACAAAGAGGCCTTAGCAACACCACTTCTAGTGAGATTAAGGTTGTCGACACCAGAATTTGCACCTCTAAGAATTATGTCAAAACGAAATGCTAAGAGATGATGAACGAGACATAGTAACTATGACTTATATTATTCACAAATCTGGTTTCTCGTGGCCTCATATGATCCACAACCATCATTAAATGCAAAACATGAGATAACTAATTTACTAGTATCAATCAATTCACCATACACATAACACTGTTCTTTAAATAATAGAAATGCCAAAAATAGGAATAACACTTGATATCATTATAAATCTCCGAAAATCTCATATTTTGGAGCTGCCAAAATCCATTTAAAAACCGAGAACAACGACAAATACAGTTGGACAAGGTTGTCTGCCTTTTCATCCCACAATAGTCTCATATGTCTATGAATCAATTATGTCTTTACCAAAAATTGGTTAGCTACCTCTCACCTTGTTCTAGGACTTTTTCTATTCGTGGGTCATTTGTGGCATGCGAAAAGGGATAAAAGTGCAACTTTAAGTCCTATTTAAGGAGCTGCTACATCTCTTGCATCCAAAGAAGGTGAGATAAAATTTTCCTAAAGTTGAGAACTCCTTACTGCTAAAAAAACTTGGTGACATGTATCTATATCAAATGCTTTACAACTGCTAAGGTTTTTATAAAATAGCACATCTTCAACACCTTACAATTCTTTCAAGGAAGTTCTAAATGAACTTAAACTTTTAATATTATTCTGACGATTCTATAGACATTAGCTTTGTATACCATATTATAAACATATAGACAATTGTTCCAGCTAATTCTATAGGCGTTTCAACATTTATTGTCAAACAAAATGACACAAAAAAAAAAAGGACAGATTCCTTAGCACAGTCACAAGAAAAGCAAATATATATAGATTTATAGGAAGAATATGAAATGTTTATGTGAAAATATAGAATTACAATCGGTAAAATGGATACATAAAAAACTGAAAAGTTAGAAATAAAAATCTCAATTGTGTCAACCAGTGGTTTAAAAAACGAATCGGTGCCCCAGATCGGGCACCCCAAAAACCCATCCAGATCAGTGAATCGGCAATCCGGATCGGAAATCGGTAGGATTAAGCCTTACAAAAAATCAAAAAAAATTATTAAAATTTATTGTACATGTTGTTTTTTAGGAACTCAATATGAAATTATTACCTTTCATTTTTTCCATCAATATACGAACATTGAGATGTTCTTTCCCTGCATGAACTTATTTTAGCCATTAAATTACATCATACAAAAGAAAAATCATGGAATTATTATGGATGAAATATATAATCATACATGGACTACAATAAAGAATGGTTTTTTACAAGAACCTTTGTTTTTTTTACAAGAAATGTTAGTCGTATTACACTTTTTTTTTTTTTTGACAAGAACTTTTTTTTGACAAGAAATACTTGTTGTATTATCTTTTTTTTTTTTTATAAGAACCTTTTTTTTTTTTTTGACAAGAAATTTTTATTACCTTTTATTTTTTTTTACAAAAACCTCTGTTTTGTTTTTTTGACAAGAAAATGAATTGATAAGAACCTTTCATTTTTTTTTTTTTTTTACAAAAAACCTTCTATTTTTTTTTACTAGAAAAGGAAAAAAACAACATTTTTTTTTTTAACAAGAAAATGAGCTGATAAGAACCTTTCATTTTATTTTATTTTTACAAGAAACCTTTTAGTTTTTTTAACTAGAAAAGGAAAAAAAACAACGTTTTCAAAAATCGAACCAGCAACCCTCCATGTGAAGAATCTAACCAGTGACCTACAAGCGAAGAAAGGATCTGATAACCGGTAAACCACAAGGCACGTTGTGATATTAATAGCCCGAATAAAATACTATAATATATCAACTTTTCAAGCTAATACCTTTCACTCACAATATTCCACATCGAAAAGGGGGAAGAAGACAGAAGTGAATAAATACTTTTTGGGTACTAGGTACTTGTATCACGTACTTTGTGGAAGTTAAGGCCTGGTAGCTAGGGACGCATGGTGAGGTGTGTGGACCCCAAGTACTCTTAGCCTTGACCCATTTTAAGCCGAAAATTACAAGAATGCCCACATCATACACACACTATTGTAGAAGAACCAGGCGATTCATGACGTCATGCGGCGAAGAACCGGGCGATTCATGATGTCATGCGTCGATTTACTATATAGAATTGCCCGTTCTTCTCTAGAACCAAGAGATCCAGCGTGTTTTAGTGGAATCGATATGGGAGGACCGATTCTCGGGCCAACTTGGGCGAGTCCGATCACTGGTGTCAACTATAAGGTGAAAGGGAATGTGGGGAGTTTATGATGAAAGTATTAATGGCCATTCAACAAGTTAATTAAGACTAGCAAGATAATATCAACTAAGATGGCTCAAAACAAATGATCTCATAGATAAAAGGAAGATGGAAAGGACAAAAGACAAATACCTAAAATGCCAGTGTAGCAGGATAGAGGTACATCAGTGTTTGTGATTTTTATAACGTTTCAACCATTGTTATCAAGCTCAATTCTTCCCATCAAGTCAATCCCCAAACCAAGTCATCTTCCTTAAAATTAGGATACCTGGAATTCAGGACTTTAGATACTCCATAACTAGTTATGACCAATGAAAGAATACATTCCATACGTGTTAGACATGATAAATTACAAAAGTAAATAAAACTGGATAATGATTTCACCCTCTTTTATTGATAAGAATCTACTAAATACTAGAATTTGAGGGAAAACACCAAACAAAGATGCATAAAGACTATCGAGAAAGACTAGGAACTTTTCAAAGGCAGAAATTGGCCAACTTTGGTAGCTTTATGCAGTAGAACTAACAGTTATGGTGCAATATATTGATTTATCTTCATTCAGGTCTAAAGACTCTAAACTATTTAGTCTCATGACACTAAACAAATCCAATGAAATACAAAAGAAAGGGCAGAATAACATCTTCCATTATCCCATAGTCTAAAATATATTTCTTCTCTTTAGGCCTAAAACTTCTTAAAAGATAGAAAACCTTCAGCATTATGTTAACCATAAATTCAATAGTATATCAAAATATGTTTAATGAACAAAAGACCCCACATCACATCAGTCTAACTAAGAATATCACATCTATATGTGCAAATTATATGCAAAAGACATGACAATTCGAAAATAGTCCTTATATATACCGAAGTCTCCATTCTCCTATCGTTTCTAAGAAAAGGCTACAGTACTCGACAAAAATTCAATCAGAACAGTTATATATCACAGAGTACATCATTTTCATAGATATGTGATATGTAGTTGCATCAATGTTTTTTAAACTATAAACATTGTTTTGGGTGAAATTTTGGAGAAAACTTTCTTACATTATGTAGAATTCTAGTCGTATTTCTTACTTTGCTGTTTTGGAGAAAAGTTTGTGAGACCAGTTTTTCCTTCCATGGGATTTACTAGAGTTCGAAACTTGACACTTTTCTTATAAATGCAAGAATCATATATGCTTCAAACATTGTGCGAAGAGCAGAAATACTCCACAGATGAGCCACACACAAAATTGTCAACAAAGGGAGAGAGAAAAAATGTTACATCCAGGTTATAGTTTAAAACACCACTAAGTGACAGATATGATTTTAAAAATAAGATGGATTATAAAATGGGCCACGAAAATCATCACCTCATTTGTCTCTTTATGGATATAGTTGCAACTTCAAAACAGCCCAACACAGTAAAGAACTCATTAAGCTCTCTATGATTCAAACTTGGGCTAGATTAGTGAAGATTTTAACAATGCAACACAATGTCCCGAGTTCAACTCCTACAGCTGAACTGTCCATATATTAATAATAAGTTAAAAGAGAAAAAAAAAAAATTGTGTCACATAGATTTATCAAGACAGGATTAGATTGCCAGATATTACCAATTGGACTGCTAGGTCTAACTGGTTGGTTCCTTAAATGGTTTGATCCAAAGTGAAAATTAAATTCGGTTAATAATCGGTTAAAATCAAAATCTGACAGACAATCAAACCGGTTTTGACTGGACCAGATCCTTCACCAATTCAATTGTTGATTTGATTCGAACAACGCTATTATGTAAGGTTTTTAATGTTACGATTTAAAAAGCCTCGTCTATATAAAGTTATGAATCTACACCAAATAGAAAATTTCTTCTAGATGTTACATATATCTCAAAAATCAAGAGATATGTCAAAAAGTCCTAATCTTTTTAAATTTCTATTTCTTTTGGAAAATTTGTCAACATCAATCTCAATCCACATATTATGGGATTTTCTTATATTTGTGATTTTGGATATCACCATTTCCAACACTCGTATATGGGTGATTTTAGATATCACCATATCCAACTCCTAATCCCATGGAGGTTATTAATATCACCAAAGTTTAACTTCATAGCAACCGTCAAAAATCAGCTTTAGAATACAAAAACTTCTCGAGTTGACATCGATAATATTCTGGTTCCCTAAAACAACCTCCAACTACTAAGCTTAACAAGGATCATTCACAACCAAGCGAGAAAGAGGAGCCACAAAATCAGTAAATTGAAGCTCAACCACATCAATCGAGCACATGAATCCTCGAAACACACAATGCCAAAGATATCATTGTCCAACCAATTCATTGTAAATATTGTACAGTGAAGACTCCACAACTACACAATTGTCGTGATCATGAGGGTTACAACATTGTTATTAGGATCAGACCGGTGCTTGAACCAGTGAATTTGAACATCAAAACAACCTCTTCTAGTGAACTTTTGACG